GCATTCGCAATAGTTCTGTCGGTTTGCCCTACGTAGCTTTTTTCCTTGCGAATGACTAATGTTTTGCCCAGTTCCACTGGTTCCATTTCATATATTGCTGTGCAATTAATGCCATATTGTTCTGTCAGCCGCAGGCTCTCAGACAGTCCTGTTTCCTGTCCTTCTTCTTTTACTATTGAAAATGTGATCGTGAAGCAACATATAAGTGCCAGGGTTAAAGCGATACATATCACATTTCTCAGTTTGAGGCGGAGCCACAATCTTCTCATTCTGTAGGGAGAAATGAAAGCTCATGTTAGTAATCTAATGTATACCGTATGAATTTGATAGTATAGGAAGTCCAGCCAAACCTTTCCGATGCTTTGAGGCCAGCAGCATTGGCACTATCCTTTGAATGAACACGAGCATGAGTTTGGTTAGCATGAGCAGCACCACCTATTGTCATAAAAATAGACAAAATGTTAACATTTTGGTCTAAACTGAAGCTTCAGCTTTATAAATATTTCAGAATGATTGAAGAATATTATGAATATCCAAATATATATACATTGTTCTAGACTGGCTTTTAGTCTGTGCAAAAAACATACTAGTAACTGTATTTTTTATTCATAGAACTTGCATATTTTTGTCATCGGATTCCACACCAATACTGAAACGAATTCATGTTTTCATCAATCAAAAGGAAGTGAATGCGTTAAGAACAAATACAATAGATTAACAATCACAAATTGTTACAGTAAACTCTAAGAGCCCTAATTTATTATAACAAGTATTTTATGATTTAATGTTAATGTAAGTATTTTTATGTTACCACATTCTTTCATCACTGACTCAGAGCCTGTTAGAGTCCATGCCTTTTGTTCAGTCCGGTTTTATAACTTGACAGTAGGCTATAGTCCAGGTTGGGTTGGTCTGATAACGTTGCATACTTCTTCCAGAAATGAAACTTCTGCCATCTTTCTTCAAACCCCGTATGAAATTAATTCTTCCGTCGAACCAAAACGAGATGACAGTCATCATTCACTTCGTATGTAAAGGTGAATGGCGTCTCTCGGCAGCTGTCATTCCTTCAAATTCTGAATTTTGTGTTGAAGAAAGATAGTCGCACAGGCGTAGAACATCTTGAGGGTGTGAACACGCTAGTAATAACTCACTAAACTTAGTGACTCGGTTAGCCAATGTCTAACGTCTAATTTCAACTGGTTCATGTGGTTTTAATTACCTCGTTGACGCAATATCGGTCTGTTCTCCCATGATAACCCCAAAGCCCCTTTGGGAAAAATCTAATTGCTTCATTAGAAAGAAACCGGAAACTATGTATGGGCTACATTTGATCGAATTCGGACTCCTGAGTAAAATTTCAAAAATGCAATCGGAGAACAAGTAAGAAAACAAGTAAATTTGGATATTTTTAAATGATTAGACTAGCCTACTTGACTTTAGTGTAAATGGAGAATAATTTTTTTGCACATTAATGTAGCCTATATCATTATCATACATTACTTTAAATTAAACGTTATTTTTTACGCATTTCTAGTTTCAAACGTGTAAACAAATGGATATATAACTAACGTTACACCACTTATATGCGAAAACACACACAGCGAAACTTACCTAGTTAGGCTATGTCGTTACATGGACGTCATCCGCGAACATAGAAATCTGGAGATTTAATGGTAACTGATAAAACAATAAAATGTCAATTCCGCATCGAAAGATGACAAACCTAGCAAAGGATCGACATAAATCTAAGAAAAAGACAGTGCAGCCCAGGGAAAAGTAGCCTGTGTGCTGTGTTGACATCTCACACACTGCTTCCCCTTTCCAAATCTATTTAAAACACAACGCTAAATAAATTGCCTAACGATTACATACACTTAGTTCAGATTCAGAATAGCTTTGCTGTATGAGAACATTATTACTGTAAGGCAACTGCAATTATTTTAGTTTGAAGTTTTCCCCAAATGTACGCATTTACTAAGCTAGGCTATATATTTTTTATCAGTGGGTGGGTGGGGTTTGTACCTCGGTCCCCCACCCGCACGCCACTGTTTTTTATTTATAACTATTAAAATGTGCGTCCAAGAAAATCTCTGTCCTTAACTCACCTCTTTCGCAAAAGCTAGGCTATAGAAAGAACGCAAATGACATCTATCAACATTTGTTTTGGTTATGATGGTGTTACTAGTGTGTAGAACACTAAAAAGTGATGCTTGAAGAATTCGAGCAGTTAGTAAATAAATGCCAAGTGGCATTACTGTATTTGATTAACCACGTGTGGTGTCTGACATGAAGTGTGGGAGAGTAGGCCTATACACAATAATCTCATCGAGCTAAACAGTTTTAGTGTTGCATTTTTGATTGTTCTTGGTGTATTATTTTACATCTGAAATCTATGGGAAAATGTATTGGGATTTGTTAAACCTGGAGAATGTATTAAAACATGGTTCAAGAGCTGGAACCGAATGGATACGTTAATAAATGAAAAAGAAATATGGGACACCTTCCAAGATATTTAAAGGAATAGTTAAACCAAAAATAAAAATTTGCTGAAAATGTACTCACCCTCAGGCCATCCAAAATGAGTTTGGGTTTTACAGGACTGTCAATATTAACTTGTTCATTCCTGGGCCGAATGAATTTTGATATGTACAGTTGCGCCATCTGGTGGCCAAACAAAAATAGTTTAACATGAATATAAATGAAATTAAAACAAAATGTATTTTAATTAGCAAAAATGTAATTATACATATATATGTGTGTGTGTGTGTGTGTGTGCCTGTGTGTGTGTGTGTTATAGGTGAATGTAGCTATAACTAATAAAAAGACACTGAACAATTAAAACAAAATACCAAAATAAAGCCTTTATTGTAGGAACTGCTGCAAATGGTTACATAGTGCTGGCAGTATAGATTTACTCACAATGGATATGAGGAACTAATTAAAGAAGACACTGAACAATTAAAACAAAATACCAAAATAAAGCCTTTATTGTAGGAACTGCTGCAAATGGTTACATAGTGCTGGCATTATAGGTTCACTCACAATGGATATGAGAACAGAACGAAATGCAAAACATACAAAAAAAATCACAGAATAACAAAATAATTATATATATAATTTGGATGGACATGCAGGCCTAATGTGTTTGCTGGAAACAGCCTGGCAACAGCCTGGACACAGGCTGTTGCGTCATCTTGGTGTCACTTTCTCTTTTGGAAATCCCATATGAAGGCATCCAGCTGTAAAAGCCAATAAGTTAGTCAAGTTTTAGAGAAATATTCACAATATCCTGTCATGACTAGCTTATGTAAGCACTAGGCTATTTGCTGATGGAAAAAAGTCAAGCCAACACAACACCTGTACTCACCAGTATTGTCTTCAGAATGTTTCTTCCCTGGGGTCTCAGGTAGCTGCATTTTCCTGCCTCACAGAGTTTAATTTCCTCTGAAACCTGATTTTAAAGTCAAATAGAAAGCAACACGATGGCTTAAAGCACATCAAAATAAACCTTTCCATTAACAAAGGCTTATAAACATGTAAAAACAGTACAGAACCTCGTCAATGTAAGACATGACAATAATACAATAATAATACAATACACATTATTTAAACAGCATAACCTAAATGACAGTAAAGACATTTATAATGTTACAATTTCTAGGTGACACGAGGTGACGTGACACTCTTCCGGAAATCCGGATCAAGTCTCACCGAAGTGGTATTTCTTTAAAATAAGTCAAAACAGTACTTAAAATAACCGTTTTCTATTTTTATATATTTTAAAAATGTAATTTATTCCTGTGATGGCAGATGAATTTCCAGCATAATTACTCTAGCCTTCAGTGTCACATGATTCTTCAGAAATCCTTCTAATAAGCCGATTTGGTGCTCAATAACTTTTTTTTTTATTATTAATGTTGAAAAAGGTTGCCCCGCTTAATATTTTTATGGAAACTGTGATACATTTTGTTTCAGGACTGTTTGATGAATTTGTACTGTATATATGTTTTACTGTCACTATAGCTCAATCTACTACAAAAAATATCTTTTGAATGATAGTATACATATTCAGACATGAAAATTATATTTCTAATGTTTCAGAGATGCACAAAGTAAAATGACTGCAGATAAAATCTCAAGCACTTTTATTAGGTTTGAACAGTATCTTGTTTAGAAAGGCCGTTTGGCATTATATAATTATATATAATTTGTATCATATATATAATTATATATACATATATATTCAAATTTGAATAACAAAACACTAGAAAAAAAACAGATGTAAATTAAAAGATACGATTTTAAGACAATAATACCGAATTAAAAACAGGGAAAAAAAAGCTAATACATTTCAAAATGGTCCCAGTACAGTTTAATATACAAGTATCTTTTAAAAAAAAAGTGAGAGAAAGATTAAAATAAAATAAAAGCAAGGCAACAGATAGGAATATTCTTCAGAAATCCTTCTAATAAGCCGATTTGGTGCTCAATAACTTTTTTTTTTATTATTAATGTTGAAAAAGGTTGCCCCGCTTAATATTTTTATGGAAACTGTGATACATTTTGTTTCAGGACTGTTTGATGAATTTGTACTGTATATATGTTTTACTGTCACTATAGCTCAATCTACTACAAAAAATATCTTTTGAATGATATGAGTATGTATACATATACATGAAAATTATATTTCTAATGTTTCAGAGATGCACAAAGTAAAATGACTGCAGATAAAATCTCAAGCACTTTTATTAGGTTTGAACAGTATCTTGTTTAGAAAGGCCGTTTGGCATTATATAATTATATATAATTTGTATCATATATATAATTATATATACATATATATTCAAATTTGAATAACAAAACACTAGAAAAAAAACAGATGTAAATTAAAAGATACGATTTTAAGACAATAATACCGAATTAAAAACAGGGAAAAAAAAGCTAATACATTTCAAAATGGTCCCAGTACAGTTTAATATACAAGTATCTTTTAAAAAAAAAGTGAGAGAAAGATTAAAATAAAATAAAAGCAAGGCAACAGATAGGAATGAAATATAAATAACCTTACATTATGTACAAGAAGGGTGCATAAAAGAAAAACCAGAAAGGGTAACATTTTTAGGATTTCTGGAACATAAAACAGGCTGTAGTTTGAAATTTAGAAACAATCCAATTAAAGAGGGGTTTCCGATGAAATCCTCAATTTTCAGGGTTTTTTTTGGAGAGCAGAATCCTTTACTTTTCAGTCTTTGTCCAAGCAGGCCGTTTCAATATCACATTCAATAGAAGAATGAAGTGAGCCCCCAGATACGTGGCTTCCCTTCTTGACCAGAAGAACTAGATTGCTCTGCGTACATTAAGAGCTTGGGTTTTGAGGGAATTGTCCTGAAGTCTGGTGCTTTCTCCAGGATGGTTTTATATGGTATGTAAGCAAAGAAGGAAAAAATTGTTTGAAAACACACCAACACAGAAAAGCAACCATTTGGGTTCCATTACAGATTATCATACGCCGTACAGGCCCACAAGGTCCCAATGGATTGGGAGAACATGGGCTACAAAAGAGCAGGCAGGAATATGCTTGAAGCTACAGGAACGTGATGAGGCACTTTCCCACCTCTGAAGAAGGATCCTGCCCCTGAGAGGCTGCTATTGGCACAGTGTCTCATGTGGAAAGGGTTAGTGTGACTTTAAGCAAATCACAACAGTCGACTCACACAATACTCAAGCAAATCTGTCAGCATTTCATGGAGTATCTTAAGAGGAAGCTGTAATAGAAATCCGCAATTCATCATTCGGAATATCATGGATCTGAAATAATAACAGTTTCCATCAAGAACCCCGTTACCATGGAATGACAGATGGGTGAGTGATTTTGAACGACAACTATTGGGTTTACATACATTTCATAGAATTTGCATTTACTAACACAAGGCAGTGTGGAACGAGGGCTTAACCTACATAAAACATTCGCTGGAAAATAACTTGCTGATAATCACTAGTTAAAATGACGTCCTCATTTTTACCATCTACCTGGTCTTTATGCTTGGAGAAGTTGAAAGTGTTCACGGCTAAGGGCTGAAGCGTCATATATCAGTCTAACTGGCTCAGTGGAGCTGGAAAGGGCTCGTTGACTTCGGCACCACGGCTGAAGTCCTTTACACGGGCAGGAACAGATGATCAGGTTATCATGTGTCATTTCTATTGGAACTTTCTAGATCGACTTTGCACCAGTACCTTGCAAGTAGAGAAACCGGTGGGATCATTTATCTTCAAATGAAGGAAAGTACATTATGAAACCATATTGTCAAGCACAGCTGTTAAGGCCAATTATCAGACATCCGGGCAAGTAAATGCATCACTTCCTTGATTATAATCACAAATACAGAAGGTGCGTTTAGAGCGATCTTGAAAAGAAAAGATGTTTGGGCAGGGAATGAAACTTGAAGCAAACCCTTGTGAGATTCAAGGGGAAAAAACAACACAAAAGAAAAATTAAGTGGAATTTCTCTGGTCTTGACACACTCACTTTCCTCTTGTTTGTCTTTTTCAGTCTTATCTTCCTCTACCATCGTCTAGTTTGGACCAAGTCGGCACACTATAACAAAACGGACACCACAAAGACACGCTTAACATCTTCAGATCTAAGGGACGCACGCCTTAGTCACGGCCCAAAAAACGGTCCCTGTTTAAAAAAATGGACTCAGAAATTATATCTGTCACTCCAGTAAACACAATCAAAAAGCACAGTGAAGTGTTTTCTGCGAACGCACGCGTTTACAGTCGCTGATGCACCACGGTTGGTTGATTTTGCCGCGTTGTGCGTTATGTAGCTACAGGCAACAGCATAGTGGGATTGAGCTGCCATTCAAATAGGTTTCAGTCACTCAACTGCAGAGAAAGAAGGAAGTTCTTGTTAAAACACCCAGTGAAAAGCACCCTCATCTTGCTACCGCTCTGTCTCTATAGCGCCATTCATGTATGCATTTATATACCAGTAAACTATATTAAGGTCACTCTAAAAACCGCAACAGAATGGCTTCTAAAACCAAACAAATGAAATACAAGAGCATATTTACACTGAGAGAAATGGGTAAGGGCCTTATTAACAAGAGCAATATTACAAAATATTCAAGAAGGCATCTCTAATGGTGTTTTCCTTGTTTGTTTTCTTTCCATCTTCAGCACCAGCGTGTTTTCGTGCTTGCCGGCCAAAGGATTTTCATTCCCTTTTGCTTTGCGCTGGCAGTCCGTCTCGTTTAGCTGTGTTTTTGTGAAAGTGTGGACGTGACTGCATGACTGGGAAAGTCTGTCCGATCTTCTGCAGGAGGGTGTGGCTTTACTTGAAGTTGGCGTAGTCAGAGAAGGCATCAATGTATTCCTGGACCACTTTGTAGCAGAACTCATACTGCTCCTGTGGGGAAAAGCAGGATGTAATGAGTTGAGACAGACTTGAGGTGTTTGGATTAAAGTACTAGAAACAAAACAAGATAAAAACAGGGGTGTAGGAACCATCTAAAAACATTATCAGCTTGGCTTGTGAATATTAATTATGTGATGTAACTTTTGTTTTGATGATTATTTTCCAAAAAATAGGAGGTACAAACATAAAATCTATCATGAAAATAATATATCACCCCGACCCCCTATTCTTCCTGTTCTAATGATGTTTTACTAGGACTACACGATTAAGTGAAATCGCTATAAGGCTTCACACGATTATCAAATCACAAAGGCTTCACACGATTATCAAATCACAAAGGCTATGATTGAATTAAACATATGCGCTGTGTGTTTCAGAGTGAAGCGTGGCACTGTCTTCCTTTACATGTGAGCAGCTCATAATCCAGTGTTTTCAGTGTCTTGGAGCGACGTGCGGTAAATGACGCGTCACATGAACTCATCTCTGGATGAGGTCTGAATTTGAATTGAATATTTTGTGCATTTCAGAAAGCAACATGTGTCAATCATCTTCCCAAAATTGTAATGATCGGTGTTGATAAACCACATTTTTGTCAAGAAAAGTTAAGCTTTAAGGGTTTCATGTGGTTTCTGCCAAAATTAAAATGTGTAAATGAAGAGAAACATAAATATTAGTATTGTAATTTTACAATTGTACTATAAAATTAAATAATTATTATTATCTTAAAGGGGTCATATGATGCAATTTCAATTTTTCCTTTCTCTTTGGAGTGTTACAAGCTCTTGGTGCATAAAGAAGATCTGTAAAGTTGCAAAGACTAAAGTCTCAAATCCAAAGAGTTATTCTTTATAAAAGTTAAGAGTCAACTACGCCTACCTAAAACGGCTCGTTCTAACACGCCCCCACATACCTAAGTCACGATGTGGGAAGATTTGCATAACACCGCCCAAATGTTCACGCAAAGAAAGAAGGAGTAACTTTTATTCTCGCTGTAGTATTGTTGACATCATACGACCCCTTTAAATATTTGATTGTTATTATGTTACAGCAAATACAATTGGAATAATAAATTACAATTAGTAATATTTCTTATTTTGTTTAATTAGTAGTAGTAATAATCAAACTGGTAATGATTTATTATTATTATTAGTAGTAGTATTAGTATTAAAGTCATACTGATATACAGTATAACAACAATCAATTGACAATTTGTGTAGCCCTACAAACAAGCACAGCAAACTTGAAACCTTTTTTTTTTTTTTCAATAACAAATGCAATTTTTTATCACAATTTTTCCCTTAGTACAGCATGTTTTATGCCTCTGGCAAAAAACAACAATTGTTCAAAAACAATTAAACTGCGCTTTGTTCAGTTTAGTAGATCAACACTGCATCGTGAGTGACGTGTTTTCTCACCAGTGTCTGCACCATGTGCGGTCTCTGTAGTCTTAGACTCTTCACCGTCTGAAAAACGTCCAGAATGCCCTCCGCCTTCACCCGCTCCAGGACCGTGCTCAGAGCACAGAATGTCCCTGTGCGCCCTGCTCCGGCACTGTTAACACACAAACATTAATTACTCACCGCTCTGTGGATATTAATGAGTCTGTTTCTACTTTTCATAATTGGCTTTCCTTAATTGGCTGACCCTGAATTCCCACTGGACACTGCAGCTCTATCTGTTTCATCATTGCTTTTGGAGATGTAACTATGGACAGGTTTTGGTTAAGTCATACCAAGCACCCATGGATGCCTTCTAGCACTACAAAACCACTAAACCTTACTTAAGCTGCCAAACCAGTGAGACCTATTCAAGTTGGCATTCCAGTCTAACCAAAATGTCCTGTATCCACACTAGAAGATTTATGGTAAGTATGAATAACTTCTTGAGTAGTATGCTGCTGTAACAACCACAAATGCATTAAATAACTTGTTATTTCCTGTTTTTGTTTTATGGGTTCCCTTTGGAGCACAAAAGGACAAGCCAAAGCCTTTTCAAGTTAAAAATACACTACCTTTCAAAAGGGTCAGTAAGATTTAAAAAATTATAATAAATAAGCACTTTTCCCTATTCAACAAAGGGAACACTGAATTGATTGAAGTGACAGTAAAGACAAATGTTTCTATTTCAAAACAATTGAAAAAAAGTTCCATTTCAAATAAATGCTGTTCTTTTGAACTTGAAATATTTCACAATATTGCTGTTTTTGTATTTATGGTCAAATAAATGCAGCCTTTCAAAAACATTTAAAATTGCACCGACCCCAAACTTTTGAATGATAGTGTAATTTTGCAATTTAGCAATCGAAAATTTTAAATAAAAATAGGTTTTGCATGTGGAATGTAAATTATGCCTCACAAAAAGCCACCAAATAGAATGTAAAAACAAAAGAATAAAAATAAATCTGTTGTCATAAAAAACAAAAATATTTTACAATATGAATATATATTAATATACAAATATATTATTACAAATTATGTAAAATAAGGTTTCATGTTTCAGGTTCCCGATTGGCTAGAGGAGTAGATGTGGCTTACCTGCAGTGCACAGTGATTGGGTGGTTTCCAGACTGCTGCTGCTGTTTCTGAACTGCAGCGATGATGTTGATCATACCCTTCCCGTCAGACGGGATGCCCACCTCTGGCCAGCCATGGAAATGAAACTGCCTCACAGCGCGAGACTTATTTTCCTGCAGAGAGAAAGAAAAAGGAGAATGGCAATTACATCAATGGCAAACGTTAAAATACAGTGCTAAAAGACATAAATGGTGTTTCAGGAGATCCTCTGAAATGGTCTTACTCTGTTATTGGTGACGAGAAGGTCCCTAACAGTGTAGCTTTCACTTTCCTCCTCCCTCTTCAACTCAATGGACATGTCTCCACAAACCATCACACCGTCACTAGGCCAGTACGGAGCACACTTCTCCTGCAGAGAGTGGGGAAGAGACAGATTTATTTTTCTATTGCCCCACCTGGCGGGGTTGAATTGAAAATGCAACAATGTTTCTGTAGATAGCCCAGATCTTTAACTACAAGGCTACACCACAAAAAGACACCTTTGTAAGCAGAGTTAGCATATTTACAGATGCAAACAAAGAGAAAGGAGGCAGGTGAACGTACCTGTCCTCTCTCCTCCAGCTCGGTCAGCATAACGATAGAGCAGCTTCTCCACTCCCAGATCATTCTCCAGAAGTCTTCAATAGTGTGCTGCAGCGGCCCCTGACATGCCATGTACGAGTCCTTTTGCCTATAACCCTGCACAAACACACAAATATGACTACATTTGTATACACTAGACATTTTCCAGCTGTAATCATGGATATATGCTACCATTCAAAAGCTTGGTGTCATTACGATTTTAATGTTTTTGAAAGAAGTCTCTTATTCTCACCAAAGCTGCAATTATTTGATTAAAATTACAGTAAAAACGTAATATGGTGGAATATTATTGCAATACAGAATAACTGTTTTCTATTTCTATATATTTTAAAATGTAATTAATTCCTGTGATGCTACTTATTATCAATGTTGAAGACATTTGTTTTCAAAACTGATACATTTTAAATGATTTTTGATGAACAAAGTTCAAAAGAACAGCATTTATTTGAAATAGATATATTTTGTAACATTATAAATATCTTTGATGTCACTTTTGATAAATTTAATGCAACCTTGCGGAATAAAAGTAATCTTTCCAAAAATAAATAAATAAAAAAATGAAAAATTACTGACCCCACGTACAGTAAAAAGGCACAAAACATACGACAAAAAAGGCTGTTTATCACTATAGTTATCTTCCAGATTGCAAAGCTCTTTTGGTTTCCATTATAGCAGCACTGGAGAAGTTTTCCTTTGTTTGATTACCTTATGATTAAGTGCTTCAGCCACACAAAAAGAAGAGGAAGCGAAAGGGCTTTTAGCCAAAACAAAGCTGCCACACTCTGACTGATCTGCGATGGAGGGATGAACACATGAGGTCTGTCCCAAAAACTGCCTACTTAGGCAGCTGCCTTCTAAGGCAACATCTTACTTGTCATGCAACCTCATAAGTGACTAATCTGAACTTTCGACACTCGGCATCAACTGATTTTAAGTTTGTAATAATGATACTTTTTAGTATAGAATGAAAATAAATACATTTATAATCATTTTATTTTTTCCAGTGAGCTGGTCACTAGGTTTTAAAAAACAGCAATGGTCAGCGTCCCAGGCTCCTAATCTCAGCATGGGCGTCCATATAACTTCATGACAGAAAAATGCGTGTTTAAACCACTCCCAAAAGAAAAGAAAAGCATGCTGTGTGGTCTGTTGTAGCATTCCCTCCAGGCTTCCCTGAGCGATATCTCGGTTAGTTGGGAGTAATTGTTGGCTGAGGTCAGACGGGTTTTACTCACATCTATAAAAGAGGCGTTGATGTAGTCTGTGTTCTCCTCTCCTCGTTTTACAGGGATGATCACTCTGTTAAACTCATCTGGAAGAAACAGTGAAGGTTCAGAAAGAAACCAAGGAATGCACATGCTGATACATTTACACCTTGAAGTCTCTTTGGATAAAAGCAACTGCCAAATAACATGTAAAAGGATAAAAGCATAAAGATAAATGATAATATAATTATATACTAGAAAGTATAAACTACATAAATATGTTTTTTCCAGCAGACTGAGCAGAGAACATGTTAGAAACAATTACACTACCGTTCAAAAGTTTGGGGTCAGTAAGATTTTTAAAATGCTTTAAAAAAAATTCTTCTTATGCTCATTAAGGCTGCATTTATTTATAACAGTAATATTGTGAAATATTTTTACAATTTAAAATAAAGGTTTATTTAAATAATTTTAATAGCAAAGCTGAATTTTCAGCATCATTACTCCAGACTTCAGTGTCACATGATCCTTCAGAAATCATTCTAATATGCTGATTTGATGCTCAGACCTTTTATTATCAGCAATGTTGAAAATAACAGTTTTGCTGCTCAATATTTTTGTGGAAACAAGAGGTAAATGTAAAAAAGTAAAAAGAACAGCATTTACATGAAACAGGAACCCTTTGTATAAATGTCTTTCCTGTCACTTTTATTCACCAAGGATGCATTAATTTAATTTAAAAAAAAATGTTACTGACCTCCAACATAGTAGTGTGTTTTTGATTATTCAAAAGTTATTCTCCCAATTCACAGTCTGATTATTCAACATTGATACTCACATGGGATGATTTGCAAAACACGGTTTTTCTTCATGTTGGCAGGCAAGTTCCCTGTTCTCATCTTGTCATTCTGGATTTTAATGGAGGTAAGTTTCTAAAAGAGAGAAAAAGATAATAAACAAAACAGAACATAAGAAAACATGTACTACACTTCAACATGGTCCCAGTAATTATTTCCCAAAAAACAAAAAGCAAGAAAAAAAAAAGCTGTTTGTGCTACCTTAAACTCTGCCTCCATGCCTCCACAGCCGGCTCCAGGTAAAGGAGCGTACAGCTTATTCAGGTGAGACTCCAGAGACGTCACTTCTAACTCTGTGTCTCCGTACAGGTAGTGCTCTAGCAAAGCTTGGAATATAAACACATACTGCATCTGTAGGGAGAGATGGAGGGTGGGAGATGAGTATTTTGAGACTTAATACAGCTGTATTATGGCTTTAATGAGTGGTTTGTATGAGCTCACATCAGTCTGGACCATCTGACAGCGCTGGGCTCTGATCCGTGTGACAAATCCGAAGACGTCGACCTTTCTCTCTGCCCCCATCATGTCCAGCATAGCATCTATCACAATGAAGGTCCCTGTCCTGCCAACACCCGCACTGAGAAGAACAGATGAGAATCAGTTACTGGAAATCGCGAACCTTCAAAAAAACAACTGCTCAAAAATACTACTATTCAAAAGTTAGTTTTTTAAAAATCTTTTATTCTCACCAAGGCTGCATTTAGTTGATCAAAAATAAAGAAAAATTGTGAAATATTAGTACAATTTAAAATGACAGTTTCTATTTTTATGTATTTTGAAAATGTAATTTATTTCAGTGATGGAAAAGCTGAATTTTTCAATGTTGAAAACATTTGTGCTGCTTGAAGTTTTTGTGGAAATCTTGATTTTTCCCAAAGGACTTTTTTGATAAATAGAATGTTTAAAGGAACATAATTTATTTGAAATAGAAATTTTGTAACATTATAAATGGCTTTACTGACATTTTTTGATTCATTTAATGCATCCTTGTTGAATAAAAGTAAAAACCCTAAACAAAAAAACCCTTTGAATGGTAGTGTACTCTGCCATGCACATACACACAAGATAATAAAGCTCTTTACCTGCAGTGAACCACTATGGGTCCAGCATACTGTGGGTTGCAGGTCTTGACCTTCTTAAGGAACTTCAGCATGCCAATGGGAGTGAAAGGAACCCCGAAATCAGGCCAGCTGGTGAAGTGAAACTGAGTGACCAGCCTCTGAGGCTTCTTACCAGACACATCACCCACCTAAACACACATTTATTTGAAATAGAAATTTTGTAACATTATAAATGTCTTTACTGACATTTTTTGATTAATTTAATGCATCCTTGTTGAATAAAAGTAAAAACCCTAAACAAAAAACCCTTTGAATGGTAGTGTACTCTGCCATGCACATACACACAAGATAATAAAGCTCTTTACCTGCAGTGAACCACTATGGGTCCAGCATACTGTGGGTTGCAGGTCTTGACCTTCTTAAGGAACTTCAGCATGCCAATGGGAGTGAAAGGAACCCCGAAATCAGGCCAGCTGGTGAAGTGAAACTGAGTGACCAGCCTCTGAGGCTTCTTACCAGACACATCACCCACCTAAACACACAAACACACACAACAGAGTTTGTTATCATTCACCAAACAATATTTCAACAATACTTCTTTAAAAATCCCATCAAAAGCTTTTTTTCTGGAGACAGCTTAAAAAGTTTGGCGTATCTAAAGTTATGTTTAATTTTTATAGTGCTGTCATTGAAAATGTGCTGACTTTCTAAATTACAGTGTGGATTGGTAGCTCCAAAGTCAGATTAGTAATATAATATGGGCTGCTTTGAAAATTATTGGTTGTGATCTTCCCACTATTGATGAGATTTATGTCTCACGTTTGCAGAAAAAAAGGTCTAACAATCCTGAAATATCCCTTGCATCCAGCCAGACACCTCTTTACGCCTCTACCTTCAGGCAGACGCCTTAGAGCAATTAAAACTAAGTCTACACGTTTTCTGAACAGCACTTATTGTAGGATTGTTCATGCTCTTAATTCCTCTGGTATTTATGCATCTGCATTTCACTCCCTGTAATTGATAGGACATATATGTATAGATGTATTTATGTACGTGTATGTTTATCAATGTATGTTTTCATTGTTGATGAGCTCACCAAGCAAAATTCCAAACAACTAGATTGTTAAGGCAATTAATAAATTAATAAATAAATACTAACAGCCTTCCCTCCTCACAGGTTTCAAAAATACGCTTTTAAGAAATTTCTCTTTTGCACATTTCCCCCCCCCCAAGGTATTTTGCTATTAATGTGTACACTTTTATAACTTTTCTTATAACAAACAATCACTGTCCATTACCATCAGGCCAAGCATACTGTCAACTTCTTGTTGCTTTTACTAATTCACACTTAACGGAATGCTAGTGAAGTTACTGTGTTAGTCTAAGCCTTATCCATGTTTTTCTCCAAAATTTAAAAAGTGTCGTTTTTAAAATCCAGTGAAGGTTTATCAAGGCCATAATAAGATCTTTATTCATGAACAATGTGTGAACACTGTTTGAAGGTGGTTAATATTTGTTTTTTTAAAACGGGCACTAATTGAAGAATCACCCAAAACCCCACCTTATCAATGGTTAAAAGACTGTTTATTGTCCACTTTCAAATTTCAAAAAGCCAAAAAAACAACCAACTAATCAACCTGTCCAATATAATGGTCGACCACTAATGACTGTAGAGAAACATCTGAGCTTCTTACCTGCTGAATGCAGAACTTGCGGATGGTATAGTCAACCAGAACCATCATGTCCTCCACTGACACGCGGATATTTCCGTAGGTCCAGCATCCCTGGTCGGGCCAGTACTGAGCACATTTACACTGCGGATATGAAGCACAATCTATCATAATCATCATTGCCGCAGTAATCATGCATCTTTATTAATGGCCATCCTCCTCAAATTTGCACTCTAAATCCATTATGTGAGACCGCGATAAGAGCTGAGGCTGTGAAATCAAAGATCAGCTTACTTCTCCTTTGACACTAGACTACATCTAATAGATTTCTTGTGGCATTTACCTCTTTCCTCTCTTTCAGATTGGTTACCATGACGATGGTGGCAGTGTTCTGTTCCCAGATCATCCTCCAGAAGTCATTGACCGTTTCCTCTTTTGGTCCTGCAATCAACAATCTTGAGTTTAGCTTTTTGTTGATTAATAAATGCAAAAGTATTTATGTATTTATAAAAGTAATTAATTAAAGCCATTTTTACCTTGTGCAGCAGTAAATTTGTTTTTCTCCTGGTATCCCTGAAAAAAAAAAATAGTGAAAAAGTGGCAAGGTTTATAATGGATTCTTAAGAATGTAAGCATACATGCTCATATCCCCTATTTTTTACATTTAGATGATCTTTCATCTAACACTCACTTAAAATGTATCTTTAAAACTCTAAAAACCAGAAAAAAGTTCATTGTAATCTTCAACCAATCTCAAAATACCCATTTTTCATACTGAACACTGTAATGTTGTGATGCCCACATTCAGTGTTGTTATTATAAACTAAACTAAAATTATCAAAATAATTTTTGGTAATTGAAATAAAGATGAAATAAAAAAAACTTTAACCTTAAATATAAATTAAAATTAAAAGGGTCGACTTGGCATCTAATGGAAATAAGTTTAATTTGAAGCAGTAAAATTACTAAAACAAAAATAAATAAATAAAAGCCAAATAGAAAACTAGAAAACAAAAACTAACACACTGTATTGAGCACATTACAAAATTCTTCAAATTTAAACTAAAACGAAAATCAAAAACTAAATGGATAAAAGCAAAAATTGTATTCAAAATATAAATAAATATTATAATAGTATATGTAATTATACGAAGGTAACACCATTAACAAAAAAAAATTGTTTTAGAGATTTATTTTTAATTAATTCAAACAAAATTGTATCAAATTTTAATATCGGCAATAACGTGAAAATAATTATCAGTCTTGCGCTTGTGGACTTACATTTATATAGGAAGCGTTGATGAAGTCTGAGTCAGGAACTCCCTCCAGAGAAGTCAAATGCACCCTAGAATGATCATCTGAGAAAAGGTGTAAAAAATAAAACAGAGATTATAAGACTCCCAGCATTATTTTTCACATAATTAACTCCTTTGTAGGCCTTGTAGCTCTGGTAAAAGCATGCTTTATCAGCTCTGGTTTGGAGATAAGTTGTGGGAAAGCCTTACAGGGCAGGATGTTCACATATCTGTTCTTCTCCTTATTCTCCTCCTTCGAGGCAGCATCACATGAGGCCTGAATGGGACATATAGGCAATGCCTGCAGAGCAAAAAAACAGGCAATCGTACATGGGCCTAGAGCATGACGAGGAGATACACACCAACACCACAAATATATATTATGTATTTTAGGTTACGTCCACACGAAGCCAGAGCTTTACCTATCCGATCTTTTTTTTCACCTTGTCTCAAGAAATATCTGCGTCCACACGAAACCACGAAACCGTCACAAAATGATGTAGTATACATGCCAGACCAGCATGTGGCGCTGTAATTCTGCCACATAGATACACTAAAAACGGAGAAGAAGACTTGGACTATGCGCAAGGTGCACGGTATACAAACGAACATGGAACAATACATTTATTAATCTGTGTTATTGTTTGTTAATAAAAATACAATCGTTCAGTGTTTGTCCATGTTTTTGTTGCTGTTACGTGACGTAGCGGTGTCTGACAAGGGGCGCGACGTGGGCTGATGACGTCATCGTTTCAGAAAATATACGGATTCGCTGTCCACACGAAAACGCAAGGGCGGCGTTTTCAGATTTATCCACTCTGGGACCCGGTTTCAAAAAATATCGGTTTCACTCTCCCAAAACGTCGGATCCGTCTGGACGAAACGCCTATACGATACAAAATGTATGCGTATACAGCTAAACGCGCCTCCGTGTGGACGGGGCCTTAGATGCCATATTTTTATGTCATTCTAAAGATGGTGAACTTTCGAGTCATGACTCTGATCTGTCCATTCATGATTTGGAGCACTACGGTTGTGTCTGTTTGTGCACATACGTTGAATTCTTCCCGGAAGAGTTTATTGTCATCGGCCATTCGGCGGTTCATTTCCTCCTCCAGCTTGTCGACAGGAAGGGGCGGGTACTTCCTGTTGGTACTAGGAGAGCGGGCCAATAGTGGCACACTCTGAAGTTCTGTGAGATGGTGCGAGGAAAAGAGGCGTAAGGAATGGGGAAGAAACATGGAGTGGAAAAAGAGAAACATAAGGATATGTTAGAGACAAAAACTTTCTGACAAAAAGTTTTTTTTTTTTTACATTTTAAGAATGACTTGCAATTTGTCCTTTATCTATGTTGTGTTCGGGACAACCAGTAGGGGGCAACACAGTACAATTGAAGCTAAAAAGCTCTCATGTGATACACAAATCTCTCAGTCAAGATGTAAAAATAAAAAGCTGACACTTGTATTGCATCCAACAATGTCTTTTAATGTTACTTAATATATTTGATACTCTTAAAAACAAAAATTCCCAAGAACGGTCACAGAGATACACGCACTGTCTTTTATTCCTACCTGTGTCGTCAGCTCTGCCATTGGTCAGGCGGAAGGAATTGGAGTGGCTCCCTGCCTGCTTGTACTTCTTAAACCTGCCACAACCGAGTGGAACAAAAAGCCAATCATTACCATGGTAACTGGACAATTCAGTCCTGTGGCCCCCTGCTGCCGTTGTAGGTTTCCTGATGAATGGAGCTTTCTGAATGCTTTCTCTCATCTGTTCTATTATGACAGTGCAAGTGTTTGCTGGCTCTTCCGTGCTTTACTTGTAGCTTATAACTTTGTCTTTATGAAGTTTTCTTTTTAACTGGAATCTATGTTGTAAGCACTTTTTGTACTGAATGAACAGCTGAAAGTTTCTGAATACTGGGGCTTACCTGAGCATATACAGGACGATGATGATGAAGACAATGACCAGCAGAGAGGACAGGGCAACCATCACTGCCATGATAGCCGTGTCATCTGAGTTGAGGACAAAATGAGTTGTTAAACTGCAGTTACAAATATAGAACGGTTTTAAAAACATTTAAAAAAATCAATTAAATATTAATACTAAAGAATTATTTAAAAAGTCATGATTTCTACAAGAAATTAAAAGCAGCACAATTGTTTTCAATACTGATAATAGAAATGTTTCCTGAGCATCAAATCAGCAAATAAGAATGATTTTTGAAGGATCATGTGACACTAAAGACTGGAGTAATGGCAACTTTGTAATACAACTTTGCCATCACAGGAATAAATTACATTTTAAAACGCATTAGAATACAAAACAGTTCTTTTGAAATGAAGTAATATTTCACAATATTACTGTGTTTACTGTATTTTTGAACAAATAAATGCAATCTTGGTGAGCATAAGAGAGTTCTTTCAAAAACATCTTACCAACCCCAAACTTTTGAACGGTTATATTAAAAATAATAATTTTGGAATTTCAAAAATACTTAACATAGGTAACAATGTAAAATAGTTTTTTAATGATATTTAATTTGTTATTTTTATGTATGTATGTATGCATGCATGCATGTATTTATTTATTTATTTTAGATCTTAAATCTGACGAATGGCCTAATATATTGCCAACAGCCTTTTAGAAAGCGTCATTTTGTTTGACCACTAGTCAATTATTCATTCCTTTGGCTGGTAATGTATAAGCAACTCTTAACAGGTTGTGTAATAGATGGCTACTTGCATTAAAAAAAAAACTTCATTCTGCATGAAAATTTGAGTGAAAATGGTAACAGAAACTTGCCTTGCCCACCATCATCTTCATTACATGAGAAAAACAGAAAGACACAACAGCAATCGATTAAAATGACAGAACACACACTGGAAAGTGTAAACAGTGCTTTACAAATAGTTGGAAAAGACTAGGATAAAAGAACAGCTCAATCTGTTTCAAAATGAACAAAAACGCAAATGGTACCTGGAGGCTTGCTGATGTCAGCTGTGGTGGCATCTGTAGGGGCAGACGGGGTGTCTGTCTCAGGCTCTGAAGTGGATTGAGTGGGTGTCGGATCAGGTGTAGGGGGCTCTGCTGTAGCCAAAACTGTAGTCTCGCCATCTCCAGTTTTAAGGGTGGTGAGGGACGGGGATGCAGCAGATGGGGTTGGGGGGGCGGCCGGTGCATCGGTAGGGACGAGAACAGTTGGAGGGGCGACGACAGGAGGGGCTGTGGGAACCTCTGGGGTCACCACGCCTGCATTGAATCCTGTTGTTACAACAAGTTCAGGGGACGGTGCCGAAGATGGGGTGGATGACGGGGGTGCCTGGGTGACTATAGAGGGTGATGTGGGAGGAGGGTGTGTAGGTTTGGCGGTCAGGACTGCACCTGAGAGAGAAAGATGTATCATGGTTTCCACAAAAATATCAAGCAGCACAAATTTTCAACATGGATAATAATAAGAAAGGTTTATGAGCAGCAACTCGGCATATTAGAATCTGAAGGATCATGTGACACCGAAAACTGGAGTAATGATGCTAAAAATTCAGCTTTGGCATCACAGGAATAAATCACATTTTTAATTATATTAAATAGAAAACAGTTATTTTAAATTGTAAAAAATATTTCAAAATATTACTGTTTTTACTGTATTTATGGTCAAATAAATTCAGCCTAGGTGAGCATAAGAGACTACTTTCAGCAACATTTTAAACTTCTTACCAACCCCAAACAGGTGAACGTTGAGTATCTCACAAAACAAAATTAGGTGTGTGAGGAAATGCCATTTCCTCCAGGCCACTCCTAGGTCATTTTCTGGGCCTCAAAAATATTTTACATTCTTTAGTAAGAGCAGATGGATTGCAATGGTACAACTTCATGTACTTAATAAAGAAGACTTGCTTTTAATATCCTATACATGAATATTTCAGGTTAAATACCACTTCTCAGTTTGATAAGCTGACAATATAAGTTACTGAAAGTCACAAGCCAAGACCAATCTGGGTTAAAGTGGCTCTGCAGGAAATGCATCAACACCAAAGAATAACTAGACCTTCTAAGGGTAATAAGTTTGTTTTTTCTAATAAAGGCAAGGCGAATACATTAACCAAGGCTTATGTGTTCTATAAAGATGCCTTACCTGAAGGGTCAGGGAGTGTCTGGGCCGTGCTGAGGGCCACAAAGGCCACGTGGAGTAGCAGGAGCAGGGGATACACACCCATACTGCCCTGAAACAGAGTAAACAAAACATGAGCCAAAAGCAATCTATGCCACGTTTCAGTCTTATAAATGAACACTATTCAAATGTCAAGTTTGTAAGATTTTTTTGCATCAAAATACCTTCTATTAACCAAATTCATTGTCCATTGACTACTATAAGTATGCCATTCATGGGTTTATCTTCCCCAAATGTGTGAATTGAGCCTCCCATGCAGGCTCCATCAAATATACAGTGCTCTGCCAAACATTTAGAGATCCATCAATATCTTTCCAACTCAAGCTATAGCGAGAGTTTGGGACGTAGCTACTTTAGCAGGCTGAGCCAGAGTTATAGGAACATGGCTGTCACGTTACATTGGAAAATAAATTCAGATTTGGTTACAGAAGCACAAACCAATTTGATGGAATGTTTGGGATTCAGTCGAACCTGTTGCATGCCAAACTTGGTGATTCATAAAATGCAAGTCAACGGCTACCATCACTTGAGGGTCAAAAAAGAATATACAGGCAATACAAAATCAATACCCATAGCTCCTGATGATATATTGAGGTCTTATGAAGCGAAACAATCAGTCTGTGCAATTATTTACAACATTATTATCTGTAATCCATAGCCTCAGGCAAACAGTTCAGAGTGAAGTCTGGTTCGTGAATGAATCGTTCTTTAGAACTGGTTATTTTTAGTGATGAACAAAGTTCACCAAATCAGACTGTAATACTGTTGTAAATAATGTTAAATTTCTTGCACAGACTATTCGTTTCACTTCATAAGTGCCTCAATATATCATCAGGAGCCACAGGTATTCATTTTTTTTGGACTCTCAAGTGACGGTAGCTGTTGACTTGAATTTTATGAATCACTAAGGACCACAGTTTCAGCTTGGATGGCCTGAGGGTAGGTAAATTATGAGCAAATTTTTATTTTTAGGTTAACTATCCCTTTAACTGTTTAACAGCACCAACAAAATCCTATTATTATTATTATTATTTTTTAGAAAGGATTGTCCCCATAGGAACCTCTGTGATTGTCAAGGATCAAATTAATAGACTTACCTGGAGAAACGAAACCTGCATCACTCACTCATTCGCACAATGATCTCCTGTAGATGAAAAAAAGAAAAGGAGAACTTATCATTAAAACTCAGCAACAACATTAAGATTTACATCTACTAGGGATGGCTCGATACCACAATTTTGACTTCGGTACGATACTAGGATCTAATACCTCGGTATCGATACTAAATCGATACCATAGGTGACAAATAACCAGCCTCAAAATATAAGTGAATTGAAAACAATTTTATTAAACGCACTGCTTGGAACCCTGCATGAAAAATTGTGCAAACAAAATGCAAAAAAAAATAAAAAATAAACCTACATTGAACATAGGTCAGATTTTGATTTTGAAGAAAGAAAACTGAAGAGATAAAATTAAAACAGGATCATCTCTTCATATCTTTTCAGTCTTTACCACATGGTGCAAAGAAAATGTATCAGAATGTAACAAAAAAAAATACAGAGTAGAGTTTACAGGTTAAATGTTGATTTTTTGGGGGGGCATCAATCATACAAAATTACCAGTCTGATCACTGTGGATGAAAACCAAAGAGATGATGTGAGTCTTTTCACTTTCAAACCAAAAAAGAAACACCAAACCAAAGAAGTTCCCAAAGAACCCCAACCTGTTCAGTAATATTAAAAGTTTACTTAGAAATTATAATGCAATTGGTTTAATTTTTTAATATTTAAATTAATTTTATTTTGGTAACTATAAAAAAAAACAAGAAAATAATCATAAATTACCTTTACTGAATAGTGAAATTTGACTGGTATTGTTATCAATAACTGATTTTTAGTATCGTGGCAACCGTACTGTCATGCCATTCATAAATGAGCGCATTACAGGCCATTCATAATTGTGCGCACAACCTCTAAATTGAGACAGAAAATGAGTCACTGCTCTCAGACTAACACATCAAACAGAGATGTGATGCTCATGCTGTGATTGTGATACATTCTGATTAGACTGGGTTTTAAATTCATGAAAACAAACACCCTCTTTTTAAAACAACAAAATAAAAATAAAACCTGACAAAGATTGGACATTGCAATTATGAAAAGATATACAAGGGAATACCCTCTCTACACATGATCCAGCCAAACCCAGCAGCACACATGGCCATGTACTAAACAAGAGCAACAGATTAGGGATGTTCATTTCGGTTATTTTTCCTAACCGACAACCAACGCTCGTTAACCGATTATTAACCGTTAACCGACAAGATTCTTTTAAATTCTAATTTAATTAAATTAGAAAGGATACGTGTCTGTGACCCGTTAAAAAATACTAACATTTGTTTCCCAGGGATTGTTTCAGTTCATTTTTGTGCTGCGCGAAAGGAAACAGACGGCAGAAAGCGGCATCCTATTTTTCTTTAGCATTTAGTATTTAGTATTTTACAAAAGCACAAAGATTTGTTTTTATTGTGAATGTACACAAATAAAGGCAAACCTTTTACAATTCCGATTATCTTTATGACTAAAAGGAGTAGTTGCTTCCACTGTTAGAAGGAAAAAATTCAAATGATTGCGCCGGCGCTGCATGCGCACACACAGTTAAGCATTGCTACCTTGACAAAGCAGTCTGTTCATTATCATAACAAAATACAGTCAGTCAAACATATGGAAAAAACACACCGCTCAGTTTAAACAGTCAAATCTGTGCTCTTAAGCGTTATCACCGTACCGCCGTGAATGATGTTATGCAAACCATTTAGTTTTACGTGGATATTGGAACGTGAGTGAAGTAGGCTACATAATAAATAATATTTTGGCATTCAAATACATCGCGAATACGGAAACATTTGATTTTGTGTCGAATGAGAGCCTAAATGAATTCGTTTTGGCTTGTCGTTTAGCTATAGCTTCTTATATTTTTAATTCTTGTTCTTTTCTAAATACTGTTAATTGAAAGGATTTGTTTTAGAGTGAGGCGAACTAAAATAGCCTAGCTATGTTTGCAGTGTTTATTAAATTATTATAATGTTTGTAAACATTTTTTGTCGGGATTAGGCCTATTTCTGAATGAAATAATAAAATGCGACTTAGATGCGACTTATGTTTTTTTTCCCTCTAAAAAACGCTTTTTTTTTTTTTATACACATAGTGTATTTCAACCATGCAGCAAACCTTTTTAAATATTTTGATAAATTACTAAAAAAAATAAAATAAATAAATGACTTTTTAAACAGTTTAAATGATTGTATTAATCGGTCAAAATTCTTCACGGTGGGTTAACGGTTAAGCGGTTAAAATGAACATCCCTAAAACAGATACTAGACAGGCAACATCCAAGAGTCTTTATTCATCCAGCAGATGCCTGCGGATTTGGTCCAAGGGGATTAAGCTCTTAGTTGTGAGATGGTTTGATGTGAGGAGTGAAAATATAATCACAGCATCTGAAGCCAAGATCCAGAGAGTAGCAGGTTGACCGCTAACCCGTGCTGTAATCTCAACGGTGTCTCACTGACTAAACCGTGATAATCCTCGTGCCAATCTAAAGGGTCAGACCCTGAAATAACCCAGCCCGTCTGCCACTCATCAAGCAAGAGCATCCGTGGTACCGCTGCTCTTCAGACGGGCCAATCAGCTTCCAATTTCTTCTTAGCAAGGAACCCCTGTCATCCAAACATCAGCAGGCCCTGCCCAATAATCGCCAAGAGCTTTCGGTGGATCATCAAGAGTCAGTTTGAGCTGCTTACATGAGAATTTCAATAATTACACCACAATTCGAAAAATGGCATTGCGGAGACTTGTATAAAGAAACCTTTCATATGGGATTAGCTCATCCGAAATATGAAAATTGTGTTATTTGCTCACCCTCATGTTGTTCGAAAATCTTACAGAGCTCAACAATAAGATTTTTGTCTGCCGGCCCAGTGGGGTCAGTAGTTCAGATTTATACTGACCCTGCCAATATTGTCAGTGGCGCTAGCACTAAAAATGATGCATTATATATTTATACTATATATAATATAAACATATATAAAATATTTAGAATTAATATTTATATTTTCATTCAACAAAGCTTTCCTGTACAAAAATATACATATTAAAAATTATAGTAATAATAATATTGATTTTAGCCATTTTTGTTTGCAACTGAGGTGTCGCTCTCTAAAAGCAATGAATTTATACAAAATATGGTTCTCAGTTCCATTTTCACCCACATCTACATAGCATCTATATAATCACTGGTGTCAAGATGCCCACAATTACAACCCTGTTTTCTGGGGCACAAGCCATGTAAACCAACTGGTTTTCTTGGTTAATTGTGTGATTCCAAATTTCAAACCATGTTTGATTCTTACCATGATATTTTTCCTACTCATTTGTGGTGCTTGCTAAACTATTAGTATAATTCTTATGTGGGGTTAGTGATTTGAACGAATGGCAAAAAAGGGCAAAAAAGTCCATAAACTTTGACTATTTTTATGTTTGGAAGAAAGTCTCAGTATAAAAAAATTGTGAAATAATACACAATTTAAAATAACTGACTTCGATTTTAATACATTTTAAAATGTAATTTATTCTGTGTTGGCAAACCTGAATTTTCAGCATCATTCCTTAAGTCTTCAGTGTCACATGATCCTTCAGAAATCATTCTAATATGCTAATTTGCTGCTCATGAAACATTTCTTTTTATTATCAATGTTGAATAGCTTAATATTTTTCTAGAAACGTGATAGAATTTCTTTTCAAGACTCATCAATAGAATGTTCAAATTAACAGTTTTGTTTAATTTAATGCACACATTGGATAAAAGCGTCTGCAAAATGACTAAATGTAAATGTAAAAGTATTAAATTTGGGGGAAAAAAATGAATAACCCCAAACCATACTGTATACTGAAGGAGTAACCCGAAGCCGTAAGAAATAACATAGCAATCACTGAGCAGACGCTAAAACCAGAACACCTTAGCAACCGTGCATCGACGCCCTGCAACCACAAACCGCGTGATAGCATCATGTCAGTGATTTTTTCCCCAAACAGTGTCTTTGTTTGTTGGCTATCATTTCAGTTTGTCATGCTGCCTTAGCTCATTTTGAGCTATGAATGGCTACATGTAAATCTGTGTCCCTCCTGCGTTAATTCGGATGGAAATTTGCAGTTAGGTAATACAAACAGCTGACCATTTCCATACAAAGAAGTTACACTCACAGTCACATCCATCTCTGACAATTTAATCAAATTAGCCTTGCCACAGCGCCCGTTCACAGGCCTGTTATTCTACTGCCAACCACACGAATTCTAGAAGCTCGTTGTCAAATATAATTTGTTTAAAGGCTGAGCATGCACATGGCTGAGCATTCTTCAGGTGGAGGGCAATCTGAAATGATTTGCGCCTTTTTTGGCTGAGCCTGCAGAAACCCTTCAGATGGGAGGGACACCTCTCCCGCTCTATACATTCACCGTCGGTCTCTATCTGTTCCCATCTCCCTTTCTGGAGTTGGCAGGAAAGCTGTAACCCAAGAGAGCACATTGCTTCCTTCCTTCCTTCACCGCCTGTCTGATTGCCTGCCAGATCCGTCATTCAGCCCAAAAGCCGCCACACCCTCACCTAACTAATACATCACGGAAAGCAAAACAGTATTTTGGAAAAGTGCCAGGCTGTTGTATAATTTTACTTTGTGTTGAATCGGTCAAATATGCATATGCAAACTGCCCCGTCTACTTGATGAGTCAGGCCTGGTTATTATCTCAGCGAATTACAGAGGAAATGGCACACCTCTAATAGATGACACCCATAATAGTGGTTTTCCTCTGAGATCTGACATCATTTATTTTTAAGTGCACAAATGGCCTGCGTCCAGCTCCACCAAGACTTGTTCCTAAAGGACGAGCCTGCAGAAGTCTCACGTATCTCCAGGCAAACCAAAACACAGACTTGGGCGTGTGCAGAATATCTGCATCCTATAGGGAGAGTTACGTCTCAATTGCATTAGATCGCACCTCGGAGTGAAAGAGGGTTTTCCTAACCTGAAAATTGCATGGTCATCTCTTGCACAAACTGTTCCTGTTAAACGTTGCACCAGATTTG